AAGATTTTAATTTTCGATAGAACGTGAAAATTCAGGCAACTTAGCACATAAGTTGATTATTGGTCAGTAAAAAAACCCTGTTCACGAGCTTGTTCGTTTATTCCAAGACTACTCAAAACCTGTTTTAAGTATGATGTCCTTTCAGCGATGTAAGGACTAAACGAGCTCCTTTTTAATAACGTAAGCAATGGCAATTTTGGAAATATTTAGTTTGCTGCACACAAGTAAGCAAGTACAAGAAAAAACAATTCAGTCTCTGGTTGCAACTCTTCAAAAAGAAACAAGAATAAAACAGTCGATAGTGCATGCAATCCCTGCCCGTGTGCACAGTGCAGTGCCAGTCAATTGTGTGAAAATTCAAAGCACAGTTGGAGGTCTAGATGATATCCCTTCCCAGAAAGCTGAAAAATATTACAAAATCCCTAATTATACCTCTCCCTTTAAACATACTGCCAACATTTGTACATGTTCTTTCCTTCAAAACGGAACATCATCGAACACTGCAAGGAACACAGACTAAAAACAAAGATTAGTCACTTTTGCCACGCCTGATGATTTCCATCTTCTTCTAATCAGAGGTCGCACACTGTGACCCAGGGTAATTTTTGGCCATGTTTAAAAGAGTTTTGAATTTGTATGCCCTTAAGTGAAACTTGCACTTTCCATTTCAGCTGTTAACTGCCTAGGCCTCAGGGGTATTTGTGTTTGTTCGTTTGGAAATTATTTCAATCTTATGAGACTTATGTTTATAGTTAATACTAGAAGCACTTTCATTTTCCATTTTCCACTTGGTTAAAAAAAAGACTAAAAATGCATTGAAAAATATTGAAATTTTTTAATAAACACAAGGCTGTTTAAAGATTCAGTGCTGTGAACCTGAATTATTGCTCAACAGGTAGACTGTCACTGAAAATGCAAATTATTTTTTATCAGCTGATGCTTGAAAGTATAAATAAAAAATGCCAAATTTGGGTTATCAATGCATAATGAACAAAATACAACCCATAGGAAAGTCAAATTTTTGGATGTTAAAAACAATGAACTGATTAAGTAACTGTATTGGTTGTGCTAGGATCTCAATTCAGTCTTGCTCCTATGCTTGGAAAGTTTGGAACCCCACACTTAGGTCCCCAGATATGAGGGGGAAGTTTGGAAGGCATTATCTCTTAAATCCTGGCCTTTAAGAAAAGCTTCAAGGGTCACTTTTTCTGAGCTTGAAACATGTTCTCCCAGTTGAGGACAAAACGGCCTGGTGCCTGATATTTCCTGAGGAAGCAAACATTATCTTGGGTAGCAACCAGAAGGTACTAACCCTGTTGGTCTCTGATTGTGGGACAAAGGTATGTGAATCCTGGAATCTGGATGTAGGAATATAAGAATGTTGAGCTAGAACACTTTACAAAGGATTCTACCCATAGGGGTAGTTTGCCTAAGCCAGGTAAGGCTGAGGTGAGGTCAGGAATGTCCAGTGATGAAGAATTAGGGTTGGAAAAGTCTAGCAACAGAGCTTATGAATAACCTTGAAAGAGCAGAGTCAGTTTTGAAAATCTGTTAGTACTAGAGGGAGGAAAACAATAACATTTGTTTCTTCCTTGCTTTCTTCTACTTTCTACACCACTCCATTCCATACCAAAGCCAGAGAAGGTTAGAATGGAGGTGAGAGAGAAGGAAAACTGCTAACTACACCTCCCTAGTTAATAAAGAATGCAGGTGGGGGGGACCAGCAGATGGTGTAATGGTTATGTTGCTGGACTCCCTTGTAGTTGACTGCAATTCAAGTCCTGGATCCGGCAGCTTAAAACTCAAAATGGGTACATGTGCATGTATGCCCAAAATCTTGAGAGGAAAAACCCCTGGAGGTGATTTCTAGCTCTCATCTCTCTGTCTCTCAGGTGAGTGCACTTGCCCTTACTTGCAAAACCAACTCTCTCTAAAAAAAAAAAATGCAAGTGGATATCTAAAGTTAGCTCTAGTTGGATAAGGGGAGAAAGTGTGTCTCATTTGTGAATAAAAATTGAGATCCGATTAATACATTCCCATGTATAAGCTGTAACTTTGACTATGAGTCCAAATGCCTGTAAAATTTTGTATTACCTAAGAGAGTTGAGAAAAGTCACAAGACTGCTCAAGTTTTCTTTAAGAAGCCTAGGAAGGAATAGACTCCACTGAGTCTAAACTCACGTTTAGAGGACATGAGAAATAAAGGTAATGTTTCTGTCTTGACTGAACCTCACAGATTGTGCTTATCCAATATACCAGATTTCTCTCTCGTTCTCTGTATATATAATATATACTCTCTATCTAGATGTATTCATAACATAAATTTCTAGCCTGAATTTAAATTTTAAGTATGAAGCATTGATACAATTAATTAATTTTAAAGTTAATTTTAAACATTAGCTCTATTAAAAACATGAAATTAGAGAGATAGATGGTCAGAGTTACTGTCCCACCTGTGCTGATGCTATTCTGTCCTTCACCCATCCAAGAGCAACAAGAAAGCAAAGACTACCCAGCCTGAGCTGGTTAGCAGGCACTCCTATTCAGCCTGCAGTAGGGAGGAGGGGCTGCTCAAGCCTTCAAAGAACACCACCCAGTTCCTGCAGTTTCAGAGGTAGAATGTAAGATATATGGCCCCACCGGTGCTGATGACATTCTGCCCCTCACCCATCCAGAAACAACAAGGAAGCAAAGGCCACACAGCCTAAGCTGATCAGCAGAGACTTCCATCCAGCCTGCAGTGGGGGAGGAGGAGCTTCTCTGGCCCATGAACCACATAATGCATGGCCCACGAATTGGACTATCACTTATATTCTACCTGTTCAGTTCAGCCTCCAACCTCATTATGATCTGAGAAGTTTGAGTATACAGAAATATCCTTCCTGCAAAGGAACATAATAGCTCTTCACTATCAATGGATAAAACACCAGAGGTCACAGAAATGTTAGAAAAAAATCAGAATATTTAGCATAACAAAACTCAATCAGATGTGAGAGAAAATAGACAATCAGTTCTAGGAAATGAGAAAATTATTTTATGACTCGAAGGAGAAACTCAATAAAGAGACAGATGCTCTAAAAAAGAATCAAACAGAACTTCTGGAAACCAAGAATACAATGCACAAAAACAAAACCTCCCTTGACTGGATCAATAGCAGAAGGAAGAATCTCTGACATTGAAGACAAACTCTCCAATTTAATATAAGCAACAAAATGAGCAGAATAACCATTAAAAATGAGGACAACATACAGGAAATCCTAGACACTGTTAAGTGCCAAATATCAGCATAATAGGTATTCCAAAAGGCAAAGAGACAGGTAAAGGCATAGAAAATATTTTTCATGATAAATTAGCTGAAAACTTTCCAAATCTAAAGGCACACAAACATCCAATTCTAGGAAACACAAAGGACATCAAAACGTTAAAAGATATTTTCCAAGGCATATCATAGCCAAATTGGTAAAAATCAAAGATAATGACCATATTCTAAAAATGGCAAGGGAGAAATGCCAAGTAACTTACAAAACTTACCACATTAGACTAACATTGGACCTTTCAACTAAAACAACATAGGCAAGTGAAGAATGGTAAGATAAATTTAAAACTCTAAAAGAAAAACAATTTCAGCTAAGAGTACTATATGTAGCTAGATATCCTTCAAATGGGAAGGAGAAATAAAATTATTTATAGATAAGTAAATGCTGAAAGAATTCCTCAAAATTACACCAACACACCAGGAAATACTTAAGAAACTACTACACCAGGGAAACTGAAGGGAGATAAATAAAAGTAAGAGAACACAAAATGATTTTAAAAAGAGAGAGTAACAAAATGAAAAGGATAAATCCACACATGTCAATAATACTATTGAATGTCAATGTACTAAATTCCCCAACTAAAAGGCTAAAAATTCAAATTCAACTATCTTACACACAAGCAGGTATAAGTACAAGACACCAATTATTGGGTATATTTGATTGACAGTTATCTTCACAGGTCTCATATTGCATTTACATATTTATTACTATAACCATAATCTATTGTATAAAACTATAATAGATAACAGAAGAAAAGTCCAAAGTATCACAAGTAGCTGAATTTTTCTTTGGAATGAATTTAAAGAAGGCTAAAATCAAGAAACTTGTCAAAACTATAAATTTCCAAGTGACTGATTTTATCATGTCTTCACTTTTTTTTGGGGGGGGGAGAGATTTTTGCTATAGGGGGCATGTGCTCGCCAGAAAGACAGAGAGAGACAGAGAGACAGAAAGCAAGAAATCACCCCCGCAAGGGGATGGTCATACTGCAATCCCTTCTCCTCCATTCTCCTCTTGGGATCTTGGGCATGCACGCACATGTGCCTGGTATGAGTTTAAACCACCAGGTCCGGGACTCAAACCTTGGTTGACTACATGGGAGTCCAGAGACATAGCCATTACGCCAACTGCTGGTCTCCCATGTCTTCACTTTTAAACATCTCTTTTCAATTTTGTTTTGTTTTTGCTTGCTTAAGAACTTATTTCTTTAGGCACAATACAGTTCTCTGGACTTATAAGAACTCACAGTGAGTAAAAGTTTTCTTTTTCTATTTCTTCCCAAAAAGCTATTGTTATGCATAATTTTACCTGTCTCTAGCTGGACCAATGATGGATACTACAGATCTTTTCAGATTATAAACTTTTAAAAAAAGAGTTGTTTTTATTTTTTAAGAGAGATTTTTGCTATAGAGTTCATGCACTCACTGGAGAGACAAAGATACAGAAAGTGAGCAATCACTCCCGGGGTAGGGGGGAGGCAGCCATGCTGCAGTCACTTCTCTATTCTCTTCTCAGGATTTTGGGATGCACATAAATATACTAGGCACGTTTTAAGCCACCAGGTCTGGGTCTCAAACTGAGTTCGACTATGTGGGAGTCCAGCAACATAGCCATTACACCATCTGCTAGTCCCTTAAGATAATAATTTAATTTCAGTAATTTAAAGGTAAAATATAATACTACCTTGTTATGATGAAGCCATAAGTATTTTAGGTTTTTAAATCTGGAAAGATCAATGACCTCTGTCAGTTCTCTGGAAAGGAAAAAAAAATGAACATTAGCAACAATTAATTTAATCATGTGTAAGTTTGGGCACTAGTTGGTATGGTTTAGAAGTAGAAAGGCCTCTTTCTTTGTCCTCTCTATAGGACAAAGAAAATTGTTGAGGGAACCAGCAGTTAGCGTAATGGCTATGTCGCTGGATTCCCACGTAGTCGACCGCGGTTTGCAACCCAGACCTGGTGGCTTCGAACTCACGCCAAATGCATGTGCGTGCGTGCCCAAGATCCTGAGAGGAGAAAGGAGGAGAAAGGATTACGGCATGACCATCCCCCCTGGGGGGTGATTTCTCGCTTTCTGTCTCTATGTCTCTGTCTGGTGAGCGCACGCGCCCTATAGCGAAAACCTCTCAAAAAAAAAAAAAATTGTTGGCACATTCACCTGCTAATTTCTGAAACTTCATTATAACCTCATTTATTTGGATTAAGATTTTGTCAGCTACTTAAATTTCATCCTTAAAGAAGAACATTTTATCACATTAGCAGAAATTCACATTTTACTATGAATGAATTTAATGGGACCGCCATTCAAAATTGATTTTACTGGGGAGAGGGGAGAGGGAAAAAGTGCAGATGATGCTGGGCTTCAACAAAAGTAACTCATCCTTCACTATTGTGTTCTGGTTTCTATTTGATGGTAAGTCCTAATTTTGGCCAGACTGAATTTAAGAGATGGAAATTACAGTCCAATTGCCTATCTGTTTATTCACTTACTACAAAAAGATTAAAGGTCATTACAAAGAGAAACATTTTTTCTCTGAAATTAAAATAAATATCTATTTATAATAAAATAAATGTTTATTAATAAAAGATTATCTCAAATCACTACAGATAAAAGTGATTGACTTTATTGATAAAGTTTTCTTTTTTTTTTTTTTTTTTTACAAAGAAATTGAGTTCTAAAGAAAACAGAAGAGTAAAAAAAGTCAAGCCTATTTTAAAGCAATACATAAAAATTCACAAGGGTTAGGAAGCATGGGGGCCAGCCTATGGCATGGTGGTTAAGGCACTGGATCCCACAGAGTCAACAGTGTGGTTTAAGTCTTGGAGCTGGCAGCTTAAAAACATGCCAGGCATGTATGTGTAAATGCCCAAAAGCTAAAAAGAAGGGAAACCTGAGGGAGAAGAGATTGCAGTGGAGGTGTTTTCTTACTTTCCCTCTCTTTTTCTCTGTCTTTTGCTGGCAAATGCATGTGCTCATTGGCATATTTAAAAGAAGCAGAAGGAGGAGGAGAAGGAGGAGAAAGAAGAAGAAAGAAGAAGAAGAAGAAAAAGAGGAAGAAGAGGAATAAGAAAAAAAAAAGAAGAAAGAAGGAAGAAGAAGAGGAGGAGGAAGAAAAAGAAATAGCATGAAGGAGAGAAAGAAAAGAGGAATGGAGCCATTGCTATTAAAATGCAATGGCTAAAGCTACATAGGGTGTCACTTATTAAACAACAACCACTATGATGTGGCCCAACACTACCCATACTTTCTCTTCCTTTTATGTCTGGGTTCTATCTCAGGCAGTGAAGACCATTTTGGCAGAAAACCCACTTTGTTATCTGCCACCATGGACAGATCAAGTGGAATCTAAGGGATGTTGATATGAAAGAAGACTTTTCTTAACAGTAAAATTAGCACAGGAGTCGTTAGGGGCTATAGTGTAATAGGAGGTCACTATTTATAGTATAGGGATATAAAGAGATTGTATTCTTAGAGTAGTAATCATATTCACTGTACTAAAGATTATTGAGTTCTTACTGTCTACCAGGCCTTCCTCTGAGTTTTATTACCTCACTTAATCTTCACAACAGCTATGTGAATAAAGGCATATTATTAACCACAGGGAATAGGGTTGCCACACAAAATATAAGATACCCAGTTACATGTGAATTTCAGAGAAGCAACAAATGTTCAAATCTTGCATCAGACATACCTATACTAAGAAAAAAATTAAATTCATTATTTCTATGAAATTCAAATATAACAGGATATCCTATATTTTTATTTGCTGAGTCTTATAATTCTAACAGGGAGAATATGTGACACACCCAAGATCACTCGGCTGGAAAAGACAGAACTGGGACTCAAACTCAGCCAGCTTCATAATCTTTGGTTTTATCCATTTCAGTATTTTGTCTCTCTAACAGAGATTGTGGATCCCAGTAAATAGTAAACTGATTAGAAATGGTACTTGCCTACCCAATCCTTACTGGGATAAATATGGAAAAGAATGTTTGAATCTGTGAAACTTTATAACATAACACTCCGTTATGTTTTGTGTAAAGTATGCTTACTTTTGAGAAAGGAACAGCTCAAAGACATCAGCATCCCTCTTGTGGCTACATATCTTCAGTTGATCTTCCACTGCCTGATAACATATAATTAATCTGTCAAACTACATTCCAATGAGCAAAAATACTGAGGCGTTTGCAGTCAATAACAATACCGTCTAGAAAAAGATCAAAAGAAAGGTGAATATGGAGGCATTCACTCTAAACTGATAAATTCCAACACTACAATTATATATTATTTCCTCATTTTTGTGGTTGGATTTCATTATCCTTAATTCTGGGCACAGATGGATAAATAATTTTTAATCAGTGAGAAAAAATGTGTATGTGTACATATACACACAAAAAAGTTCTTAATTCTCTATAAGGCAGGGTAATTTGGTCTTTAAGCAATTATTCTTAAATGGTCCTTCAAACATGAAGAAATCATAGTTGATAGGTTTTTCATACTTAGAAGAAGGCACCCAGTATTAGGACTGAAGATGGAGGGAGTAGGATAAATGTATGTTATTACAGGAGATTTTCTTTCTTTTTCTCTTTCTTTCTCTCTCTCTCTTTCTTTCTTTTTCTTCCTTCCTTCTTTCTTTCCCTTTCTTCATTTTTTTTTTTTAAATTTTTAAGATGTTTGCCTTAGGACATGTGGACTGACCGGAGAAAGAGAGAGACAGTGAAAGGGAAGTGAGAAATCACTTCCTGGGGGAATGGCCATGCCACAATCCCTTCTCCTCTATTCTCTTCTTGGGATTCTGGGCATACACACACGCACACACACACACACACACATCTGGAATGATTTTGAAGCTGCCAGGTCCAGGACATGAACTGCAGTTGGTCATGTGAAAGTCCAACAACATAACTGCTATGCCATCTGCTGGCTCTATGGGAGATTCATTTTTGTCTCTGCCAAATTATGCTTGACACTCAGAAGTTCTCAGTGAATGTTAAACACATAAATTAATGAGCAAATAAATGCTATTTTTTGTGAATAAATGAATAAATATATTTTCCCTTGCTTAGCAAGCAACAGCATCATCATTCATGAGTCACACATGCATACTGTGGGAGTTTTTGGTGGAGAAGAAGCAGCTTTTATTCCCATAGACTTTATTTTGAAAATATAAATACAACATGTTATTTAAGTGCTTTGCATTTTCTTTTTAAGACCTTAAATTACAAAAAATAACATTTATAGGACACGTGACCTAAAAATATAGAAAAATTGAAGCACACTTATAATTTGACATGAAAGGGTGGAGCTAATAAGACACAGTAAATGTGAAAAGTACAATCGTTGCAGTTCTGGAGCCACAAATATGATAATGAATCAAGTCAGTAGATTTCAGCTGAGATTTGTCATGAATAGGGAGATTGTGATTGATTTATAGAATATTGTAAGTGAATTATAAAATGTTGGAAATGTTTTTGCGATTTAGTAGTTACATTAGTGAGATGAGCAAATATTTAAAGAAGTGAGGAAGGTGGACATCCTAGTGGTAAAAAGCAGTTTCAGATTTGTATTCTGAAACTTCCCTTGATTCCTTGATAAGCAAACTTAATCTACAGGCTTGGAGAATTCAAAGGCTCAGGTTTAGGCATTCCACCAGAGTATTTAGTTACCCTGTTATTCGAACTGTATCTGAGGCTTGGAAAACCCACTGGATCAGGCAAGAGTATTCTCAACCGGGTATTTTAACTTAAACATTTGAACTATCAGCTTTTTCTGTATACAATCAGTTACAGCTTCATTAAACTGTTTGGGTTGTAAAAGGGTAGGCAAAGCAGAATTAAAATTTTGCAGGCAACAATTACAAAAATAAGTGTATTTTTTAACTTGACTCAGTTATTCCCCAACCAGCACTCAAAAATACACAATTGTGTACACACAGGAAAATGTGAATACCATTGCTCATCACAGCCAACATTATCTATGATTGCAAAATATTCCCCATTAGTTGAATAATGAATCAAATTACAATATAACCTCATAATGAAACACTGTGCAGAAGTTTAAAAATATAGAGCAATGGTGTGATTATTATCACTATTTTTTTTTTGGAGAAGTTTTTGCTATAGGGCATGTGCGCTCGCCAGAAAGACAGAGACAGAGAGACAGAAAGTGAGAAATCATCCAGCAGGGGGATGACTATGCCACAGTCCTTTCTCATCCATTCTCCTTTTGGGATATTGGGCACACATGCACACGCGCCCAACGTGAGTTTAAGCCACCGGGCCCGGACTCAAACCACGGTTTACTACATGGGAGTCCAGCAACATAGCCGTTATGCCATCTGTGGGTCTCAGTGGTGTGATTATTAATTTATCCCTGTGTGACTGGGCTAAGGGATGCCCAGATAGTTGATAAAAACTTATTCCTGGTGTGTTTGTATGACTATTTTCAGAAGAAGTTAGAATCTGAATTGGTAGACTTGAGCAAAGATGGTCCTCACCAATGTGGGTGGGTGTCATTCAATCTACTTAGGGCTGAAATAGAATAAAAGGGCAGTGTAAGGGCAACATCCATTTTTGGAACATCCATTTTTCTCCTACTCTCAGACATTAGTTGTTATAGTTCTGTGGTCTTCAAGCTTGGATTAGAACTACACCACTGGCTTTTCTGGGCCTCTAGCTTCTGTATGTCAAGTCATGGGCCTTCTTTAGTGTTCATAATCAAGTGATCCAATCCCTCATGACAAATCCCTTTTCATGTATCTTTTGGGGTGCTGGAAAAGTCATGATACATTTTTACATAGAAAAAAATGCATCTATATATGTACACTATTGGTTCTGTGTCCCTGGAAAACTCTCACCAATACAGATGAACATCTAGACATATAAAGACATCCAAAATATATTTTAAAGCAAAAAAGTAATTGAGAATATAATATGTGAAAGCATAACTTTTTTTTTTTTTTTTTTGCCATAGGGTGTGTGTGTGCTTGCCTGAGAGAGAGAAAGATGAGAAATTATTCCTAAATGGGTTAGCCATGCCACAATCTTTTCTCCTCCATTCTCCTCTTGGGATTTTAGGCAGCACACATGCACATGTGCCCTGCATGATTTTTTTGAAATTTTTATTTTTATTATCATCATAATCTTCTTTATATTACATTGGATTACATATAACTTTACAGTGTATTACATTGCTTTTTCAAAAGGGAATGCCATGCATGTCAGTCAATAGAGACATTAATCTCCCCACTTCATCATTCAATAACTTTTCTATGTTTGGATACCTTAAACAAGAACCAGATGGAACTTCTAGGATTGAAGAATGTGATACAGGAAATTAAAGCCTCCCTTGAAAGTATTAAAAGTAGGTTAGACCAGGCAGAAGATCGAATCTCTAACATAGAAGACAAAACAGTATCAAGAAGATTGAGAAAACAAAAAGTATCAAGAAGATTGAGAAAACAACCATGAAAAATGAGGATAATATATGAGGAATACTGGATACCATCAAGCACCCCAACATCCGGATAATTGGTATTCCAGAAGAGGAAGTAAATAATAAGGGCCTAGATAATTTATTCCATGAAATCCTGGAAGAAAACTTTCCAAATCTAGAAAGGCATTCAAATATCCAGACCCAAGAAATCCATAGGACTCCGAGTAGAATCAACCCAAGAAGATCCTCTCCAAGGCACATCATAGCCAGACTGGCAAAAACAACAAAGACAAGATACTAAAGTTGACAAGAGAGAAATGCCCTGCATGATTTTCAAGCCACAAGATTTGGGATTCAAACTATGATTGGCCATGTGGGAGTCAAGCACCTTAACCACTATGTCACCTGCTGACCCCAGCAATTTTTTTTCAACATTTATATGCATAAAAATGCATGAACTGCAAACTGTTAGTAAAAGTTATCACTTGAGATCAAGAGGGACTTTGACTTTTAGGCACATTCTTATGCTTACATTATTAATGTTTGAATATTTTATAGTAACCACATAGTAGTTTGACGACATTTCAAACATTTTACCCATATAATTTAAGAATTTAAATCCAGTTTAGAAAAAATAAGACCCAGTTGCTGCAGCACACAGGTAACATCATTGCTTAGAAGGCAGAAACTGCTTGGAGGCCTGGATTCAGTACTCAGGCCAATCAACCCATATGCACTGGGCATGGCATGCACATCGGTAATCGTAGTAATTTGGGAGGCCAGGTACGAGGATTACGGCACAGCAACAGCATGTCAAAAGTACCCACTTCTGTCTCTCTCCTTTTTATTCTCCCTCTCCCTCCCTCTCTCCCATAAAGGAAAAAAAAGGAAATAAAAAAAATTACTTAGAAAAATGAAAGATGAAAAGGGAAATGGAAAGTATCAGCATATGTAAATTACGGTGTAATTATTTATACAACTTACTCTTTTTTTAATCACAGTATATTTCTTTCCCACCAAACAGTTCTTTAAGTCTGGTAAGTATTAATATCAAAGTGCCAAGAAACACGAAAATGTGCCAAAAGGTATGAGTTTCAGTGAACCCATGGTGGAGCAGTTCCAGTTCCCAATCAACAGACAGCTTCACCAGTAACGTATTCCTCTTTTTAAAGAAAGCTTAAAAGCATTCTTTCCCTGAATTATTTTCTTTTATTGTGGTAAAATATGCATACCATAGAATTTATCATTTTAACCATTCTTGGATGCATAGTTCTGTGGCTTTCAGTACCGTCACATAAAGCACATTCACATCGTTGTGCAACCAGCACCACCATCCATTTCTGGAACACTTTCATTTTCTGCAGTGGAACCCTGATCAGCCATGCTATAGCCCATGCCACCACCATGGCTTGGCCCAAATGGACATTTTAAGAATATTATTGAGTCGTTGGAAAAATCAAGACATATTTTCCTGTGTTTTTTCTATGCAAAAATGAGTCATGACTTTTCTGACAACTCAATAGATCCAAACAGATTTGTCTATCGTTTGTTGAACCATAATTACCGACTAGTTAGTTCAGGCTCTGACTAGTTTAGTTTATGACTCACTGGTAAATGGAGCAATGAATCAGATGTCTGCTCTCTACAAACAAATTTTTTAATAGGCGAAGTAGAGGAAATATAATGCTGGAAAACCATGTTGCAGATGTCGAGGGGTAAGGAAAAGGGAAATATGCTCTGGAAAAATCAGAGGAAGAAGAAATTACTGTCAGCTTGAACAGGCTGATATTTCAGGGCAGGACTGACAGGCCCTCAACAGAAGAAAACAAATAGGATGTTGGTGAAAGAGGGCAGTCAGTACATCAGAAAGAAGAAAGGGAAGGAAATGGAAGTGTGTGGGCTGTATAGCTATTGACTCAGCGAACGGCATGTGGAAGGCGTTTGTGAGAAACACATTAGGAAAGGTAGATTAAGGACATATTGTTCATGCTGACTTTAAAACAGAGGCTCAGAAGTGCACCTTTAGTTAATGCCCACATAAGACTTTATTAGGCTTGGAGAATGCTACCTTAAAAATCACGTAATTTATATAATCTGTAATTTAAAGTTAATTCAACTTTATATGATATGTATGAAAAAATGTATATACATACTAACTAAAATCCATGTAAGAAAGACCAACAAAATTGGAATTTTCCCAATGACATCATATCAGTACTTCAAAATAATATTTAATATCAAGTTGTTTTGTAGGTTTTTTTTTTTTTTGCCTTAGGGGTATGTGCACTCACTGGAGAGAGACAGAGGGACAGAGACCGTGAGAAGGAAAGTGAGAAATCATCCCCCAAGGGAGATAGCCATGCCACAATCCCTTCTTCATTCTCCTCCCAGGTTCTTGAGCATGCATGCACACACACCTGGCGTGACCAAGTTTGTGATCGAATGTGATCAAGCCACCAGTTCTGGGACTCCGACCATGGTCAGTTATGCAGGAGTCCAGTGACATAACCACTACGCCATCTGCTGGCCCTCCAATATCAAGTTATTTTAAAAATAGTTCTCTTCTTCCTCTTGATACCCTTGTTTTGTTTGTATGCTAAAAGCATAGGCATAACTATTGGGTAAGTCAGCATTAGACACACTGCTGAGCCAACAGGGAGACATGACAGGATTTTTGAGATGCAAAAAAGATGTGACAAATTTAGGCTTCAGGAAGATGAGTCTGGTGGCAATATGCAGGATGGCCTGGGGTGCACAGACAACTGCAGACAGGAAGCAAGTCTGCCTCTCAGACATCAAGGCGAGAGCTCATGAGCCTGCCCCAGGGGAGTGGCAAGCAGGAAAAAGGGAGTGGCAAGCATGAATGAGTAGGGAGATGACAGTGTGTTTGGAGAGAATTGCTGGCATTTGGCAAGTAACTCAATGTAGCAACGAAGAGGAAGGAAATCACAGTGATGAAGATGATCCCCTGATGACTTTTAGAGAAAGGTGACTGGGAGGGAAAGTGGATTCAGCTGTGATGGAGGCACTGATGAAATGCACAGGTCCAGGTGACACCAGAAAACTGCAGGTGTGAATGGATCTCATCAGAGACATCAGAGTGGATGTGCAGACCTGGTGAGGCACATTAGCCCAGAGTAGAAAGTGGGATCCAAGTAAGGCCATTGTAAAGTGTCAACATGTAGAAAGAAGATGAGGGAATCCATTTGGTTAAGAAGTCAGAGGAGGGATAGTTATGAAATTAGGGAGAGAGGAGAAACAAAGGACAGTGCAAACCAAGAAGGGGTATTTTGAGAAGGTAGAATTGGTTCAGCCCATGGCATGTTGGTTGGGGTGGCTCAGTCACAAACAGAATTACACAGTTCGAGTCTCAAACTGGCAGCTTGAAATACATGTCAGGTGTGTGTGTGAGTGTGTGTGTATGTGTGCACATATTGCAAATGAAGCCAGGATGGTTTAGTCTTGCTCCCTCACCTCCTATCTTACCATGTTTGAAGACTACAGGGAAAACAACTTATATAATTAGTTGAACTGCACTTGTGTGTTTGTTATGCAATTACGACTTTGCTGTTTTATGCCATTGCATGTAACTCACATGTGCGTGTGTGACAGTTTGGTTTTGGCAATGACCCACTATTGTATGCAGCCCCTTTAAGGAGAAGGGAGCACCTGGTTCACTGTCCTGCCCTATTAGCTTGCACTGCTCTGCTCGGCCTTGGTTCCACTAGCTCAGCCCTGATGGCCTTGGCTTGGCTTAGTCTTGACTCTGCTTGGCTCAGTTCCACATGCTGTAAGCTCCTAGAGGGAGGAAGCACTTGTGAGCATTCTTGAAGAGCGTTACAAGCTCCAAGATGGAGGAAGCACTCTGTTTGTGCTACTGGAGCTCAGAGCTCCCACCAAACTCAGCCAACGAACATGACATTAGTACCTCACGTCTTTTCCCAACTTCCCACATTTCTGTTTGACTCATTCTTTGGAGGAAGAAAGAACCTCACAAAATAGCCCAAAATCCCCAAAGGAGGGAGAGATGGAAGGGAAAGGATTGCTACATCACCATGCCCCCTGGGGGATGGGGTGCTTTCTCATTCCCTCCCCTTCCTGCCTCTCTCTGGGTCTCTCTCTGGCAAGTACATTTGCCCACTGGCAACATTTTTTTTTTTAAAGAGTAATTTAAATTTCCAGCATTACAATGGGTGGCCTAAGATTTTACTCAGAAAGGGTTTTGAAGCTGAAGTAGTTTCAATAGCCTGATGAGGGGGGAAGCATTTCAAATAGATGGGTTAGATAAAAAAGAAGCTATAAATAATCCAAACAGAATTAGGATGTGGATACTTCTAGCACAGGAGAACAGTAGTAGCTTCCTCCATGGCCTAAGCCTTACGAGCTGGATTCAACAGGATCCATGTTTTAAAACTGTGGAATTGTTAAATCGTTGAAGAATGAAGTCTGTATTAAAATCTTCGGGAAAAATGATCCTCTCCTATGATTATTCCCTACATTTGCATGAGTGTGAGTTGGATTAGTTTGCGTAGCTTTCAGTTCAGAACAGAACTCTCAGGTTTATTTACTCAGAGCAGCCCCAAGCCTCTCCAGACAGGTGGGAGAACTCTAGAAAACCTTGCTAGCTCTTATGTCGTATTATTCTGAGAGCTTAGTCCCCCATTGGATTGGAATATTCTTTTAACCATTATCTTCGCTGCTCTCAACTTCGCTTAGATTGTATACTAAAGAACTTTTCCTCCTCACTTTATGGGAATAGCTCAGCAGGGACACATACATACATATACATACATATAACCTGCTGGAGAGTCTGGGCTCCACTTTCCAGTCTTGTTAACTGCCATTGTTACGTATGTATTACATTAATAATATATATTAGGTGGGGAAAGGTCAGTGTGAAGTCTGACATTGTGGATCAGGGCAGCCTCCAAAGCCTACCCAAGAGATCGGGAACCTTTAGCCCAGGTGGAAGATCGGAGTAGGGTCTGTCAGCGCTCATGCCCTCCCCACCTTAGCTACCTCGTAGCCCGGGGCAGCCTCCCATGCGGCAGTCTTGGGACAAGCCAAAGGCCTCGGGGTCTGGGAAGGGCTGCGCCGACTACCTGGCGACTATTCTCCAAGGCAGCGTGGGCTGCCATTGACGCCATATAGTCTCGGAAGGTCTAGCGCATTGAGTTTGGGTCTCTGGTCATCTGGGCGCTGGGCCAGTGAGCGGCACAAGATCAAGTTGGCCTGGCCAGCGGCTCATTGTTCTGTCGCCATCAGTTACCACATTCGCGTCCATTGACGCCAGTCCAAGCGTGGGGAGATAATGGAGGCAAACTTTTACTTCTGTGACGTTGGCGCATGGGCTCAGAACTACCCACTGCGCGTGGTGTCTCGGTCTCACTTGAGTTTCCTCTGCGCAGAGTGACACAGGTAGTGGCTGCCACGGAGAGGGTGGTCAGCTCTGCCAGACAGAGTGAGTCTGAGGACCCGAGTGGCAGCTACTCCATAATCCTTTCACTGACATGAGAGCTGAATATTGAAAATTTAGGATTCCGAATATTAGATGTGTCTGGCAACCAGTAGCCACAAGTAGAGGGTGGCAGGGTGAACCAGTGCCCTAGGGGTCATAGTGAAGCCTGATGCAAAAGGAAAAAAAATGATTTATGAAAATTGCTAGAGGGTGTGAGCGCTATGAGAGAGTACACCATAGGACTTGATCACTACACGACCCTATTTCTCCTTTTGGAATTTGGGCACCCATGCACAAGTGGCTGGTGTTTCTCAAGTGGCAGGTTCTGGGACTCAAACTCTGCAGCTGCCCATGTGGATCCAGCTGCCTTAACAGCCACCACAAGGGCTGGTCCCTGAGTCTGTATTTAAAAATTCCGACATCTTGTTCAGCATGGACGTTTTTCCATCAATTTTTATTTTTACAAAAGATATTGCATTAAGGTATTGATTTTTGAAAGTGGAGTTTTGATAACCCCCTTCATCTTTACAGAGGCCAGTGCCTAACTTACCGCAAAATAAAACCAGACCTTAGATGGAGATAGGGCTGACAGATTTAAGGCTTCCCAAGATTCCAAGTGCATTGAAAAATGGAATACGGTGCTGATTTTATTGGCCAAGAACAAATGCATATTGGTTCAATAGCTGATGAATTCTTCCTCTGGCAGGAAATGGGTACATGGAGCCAATATTTGACTAGTCTCTTTCATTCTTGAAAAAAAAAATTGATATTTCCCCTAGCTATGTCAGAAACTCTCACATAGATTACTTCATAATTTTATATGTAGGAGTCTGTTCCTCTCCAGCTTGGTTACTTGGAAGGTGGGATCTTGTTTGTGACATCTCTAGCTTCTGCCAGAGTCTAACACACTGCACCTAGTGTTGATTGAATTGAATGGGTTAGTCTCTAGGCTTGTAAAGAGAACCTGACATCTAGGAGTCAAATACAACTTTTTAATGGGTCAAGTAACTTGCAGTAAAAAAATTAGTGTTTTTTTTTTTTTTTTTTTTTTTTTTAATATTTTCGCTATGGGGTGCATGTGCTTGCCAGAAAGACTAAAAGCAAGAAACACCCCCCACAGGGGATAGTCATGCCACAATTCCTTCTCCTCTTGGGATCTTGGGCACACATGCGTGAGTGCCTGGCCTGTTTTAAACTGCTGGGTCCAGCACTTGAACCATAGTCGATTATGTGGGAGTCCATCAAGTAACCATTATGGCATCTGCCGGTCTTTTAGAGCATTGCAAATGTGCTCCGTGGGGAAATCAAGTGCACACTATTTTAGTACTGCTAAAATGGATTTGGGGCTGGGGAGGGGGTAAAAGTCCTTCAAGTTACCATGGAAGCAATAATCATCTGAGGAATATTACTTGATTTTTATCCCAGAAATAAATATCAGATAAGAGGATTGATCCACTGAGAAAGTATATAAAGTAATTTATTGGCCTCATATCTCCCCTTTTTGCTCTTAATATGTGTTACAGCATTTCAGCTATTATTCATGAATATGCTACATGGAAAAGTAGGAATGTCTACTATAGTTTTATACATTACACAAATGTGATTTTTAAAAATTAATTATTATTATTATTTTTAGTTTTGCAATAGGGCACGTGTGCTCACTAGAAAGAGAAAGAGAGTGACAGAGAGAGAAAGTGAGAAATCACCCCCTCGGGTGGAGGGTTATGCCACAGTCCTTTCTCCTCTCTGGATTTTGGGTATTCATGAATGCAACACATGACTGGTGTGTTTTTCAAACCTGATTCGGGAATGGAACCACCATATCAGCCATCTGAGATCCAGCTACCTTAACCTCTGCACCACCTGCTGGCCTGCACAAATGTGATTATTTTAAAAGAATTATTTTATTTATCTTTATTTATTTAATTTAATTTGACCAAAGAGGGACAGAATGAAAGAGAGAGAGAAAAAGTGAGAAAGCAAGTCACCAGGTCCAGGACTTGAACTGTGGTCAGCCATGTGGGAGTCCAGCGCCCTGCCAGCCCCTTGCAAATGTGATTTTTAAAACGTGTGCAAAATAATTTTAAAGAGGAACTTACCAAAGTAAACTATACACTAGTTTATTTCCATTAAAATCATATTTAAAATTTTTATTATTTATTTTTTGAAACTTTTCACTTGACATTGATTAAGAAGAAGAATGACTAAACAAATAAAAAACAGAACTTGTTCTTTGGAAAGGAACTCAGAAATGTATTTATTATAAGGTATTAATGTATTCTCTCTTCAAGAAAAATGAACAATTTAATTGAGCATGAAGGCTAAAATGATTCCAATTTAATTAGAATATATCAGGAATGAAGGCTTTTTATAAAAAAATATAAACACCTTTTTAGATATCTTCACATTCTTGGTATACAATTTGTACAAAAGAAGTGTATAGAGGGACCAGCAGATAGCATAATGATTACATCACTGGACTCCCACGTAGTTGACTACAGTTCGAGTCCTGGACCTGGAGACTTAAAACTTATTCCAGGCACATGTGCATTTGTGTCCAAGATCCTGAGAGGAGAATGGAGGAGAAGGGACTGTGGCATGGCAATCTCCACAGGAGTGATTTCTCGCTTTCTGTCTCTGTCTTTGTCTGATGAATGCACACGCCCTATGACAGAAATCTCTCACTCAAAAAAAAAAAAAAGTGTATAGAGAGAACTTTCACCTCCATGGAGTGGGATCATAGCCTGAGGAATCTAGTTTGAAATTTAAAACATCCATGTGGGGGGGTCAGCAGATGGCATAATGGTTAACTCACTAGTCTCCCATGTAGTCAACCATGGTTTGAGTCTGGAGCCTACGGCATAAAACTCATGATGGGCACATGAGTGTAAATACCCAAAATCCCAAGAGGAGAATGAAGGAGAAGGGATTGTAGTGTGGCCATCTCCTCCTTTGGAGGGCATTTTCTCACTTTCTGTCTCTCTCTTTCTCTCTCTATCTCTCTGGTGGACACACATGACCTATAGCAAAAGTCTCTCTCTCTCAAAAAAATTTCAAGTGAAATGTGTATTATTCTTTACAACTAAACTTGTTTTAATATAAAAATGGAGTGTTTCCACTAACTTTCCTCAAATCTTTGAGTAATATTTACACTGAAGCAAGACACCCTGTGTTTATCCTGTGGCTTTCCTTCCCTGGCATGCTGCCATTGCCTACAGGGGTGTGCATACCCCAGTTTGAAAGCTCCATCATATCATGTATGTGGGTTTGGCTAAAAAGAAAGAGCCTTGTGCTTCAAGTCAGGGCATGTGGGGTTCAGTCTTAGCTCTGACATTAACTAGTTGTTGGCCACCTTAAAGTTGTTTAATGTAATTGAGCCTCAGTATTTTTATTAGTAAAATAAAAAAGTTAGAAGTTCAGGCCCCCCCAAATCTGTTAGTTATTTAGGTTCTACTATACAGGTAGTATGCATTATTTATAGAATAGAAGATTCTTGCTGAGATGTTAACAAGTAATAGTTTTGTACAATTTTCCAGTGGAAAATGTGTGAGAAAAAAATTTGGCATGTGTGGCTAACATGAAAGCTATGTAGTTTAAACAATGTTCTAATTTCGTCTTGAATAGTTCTAGCAATCAACCTTTTTTTTTTTTGGAGAGGTTTTTTTCTATAGGGCACGTGTGCTTACCAGAAAGACAGAGAGAGACAGAATGACAGAAAGCAAGAAATCATCCCCTAGGGGGGATGGCCATGCCACAATCCCTTCTCCTCCATTCTCCTCTTGGGATCTTGGGCACGCATGCACATGCACCCAGCATGAGTTTAAGCCACCAGGTCCAGGACTTGAACCATGGTCTACTACATGGGAGTCCAGTGACATAGCCATTATGGCCACTGCTGGTCCCAGCAATCAGTCTTGATATTATTTTTCCGAGTGAAAAATATTTATTGGACAAAACAATCATTATCACTCATTTTCTGCTGTGTAGAATAAGTACGAAATGAACAGCACATCAGCAACAATCAACACATATTCTATTATGCATATACATATATATCTTAAAAAAGGTGACTTTCTGTGACATTAGAAGATCAAAGTATCAACTGTTTTCATTGTTAAAAGTTTAGGTAAAATTACATCCCATTTTAACTGACAACTACATTTTTTTTTATTAAAGCAAAATTCAAATAGCGATGGGATATTGGGGGACAATTCTTTGTGTTTCATATTATGCATAAAAACACTGAATGACTGCTTTTGTTAAAAACTATAATTTTAAGGATATTGATATCGTAAACAGTCTGGGAAGATACAGTGTCTACTTTCAGAATAAAGGGATGGTGCTTAGTTTTGTTCTTGTCTTTGTTTTTGTTTTTAACTGGGAAAGATAATTAAGGTACTATAATATCTCCTTATTTATAAGAAAAAAGGGGTCAGGCAGCTTATTGCCCAGTATAAAAGAATTTGTATTCCTAAGTTTAGCCTTCCCCTTCTATTAACACAATCCATTTTATGTGCCCACATCACCTGGCCCATTTCACAACAGCCTCTGAGAATTGTGGCTAAGGGAATTAGTGCAAATATTTATATTCTGGTGATGCCGTTACTATGAGGAGTAAAGTATCCTTTGTTTCTGATGCAGAAATCTCTTTTGTTGCCATTATCTATGAATCGGTGACTGGCTAACTTTTGTTTCTGCATGTAAAAGTGATTCTTTTTTAAATGGAAGCAAATTATATAATTTGTTCCTCAGCCTTTATATTTCTCTTTACCATATCGTGGACTCCATATTTTCTTTTTCTTTTATAAAAAAATTAACAGGAGGT